CACTCTACGTTACCTTCCTGGTGGAAAAAACTTCATGGCAGACGCACTCTCCAGATTGCCGCAGTACAACAGCATCAAGAAGGAAGTGGTTCAACCAATGATCCCCTTGACACAATTGGCGACACCTGTCACTACCAGAGCGCAGAGTAAAACCGAACCAGAACTCTCGGGGGATTTACTCGAAAATTTGCGAGAAGCACTAATAACTGACGAGTGGTTTAAGAACCACTCGAATGAATGCACACTTCGTGACAGCCTAGCTTGGGTTGGATCGAAATTGTATGTTCCAACCACATTAAGGACAACCGTACTGAATTATGCTCATGATGCCAAGGCCGCAGGACACTTTGCGTTTGTTAAGACCCTACATCTTGTTAAGAGACAATTTTGGTGGCCTGCACTTAAAAAGGACATAGAGACATATGTGGCTAGCTGTCCAGTATGTGCCTCGGCTAAAAGACCTCCAGGAAAACCTCCGGGATTACTGCAAAGTGTGGCCAGACCGAATGCCCCATGGAAGGAAATATCTATGGATTTTATTGTGGATTTGCCAGAGAGTGAAGGCTGCACTGTCATTTGGGTAGTGACTGATTTGTTTTCCAAACAAGTACATTTCATCCCTTGCTCTAAGATTCCTTCAGCAAGAACCCTTGCAAAACTGTTTATTCGGCAGATTTACCGACTACATGGATCTCCAAAAAGAATTATTTCTGACAGGGGTGTACAATTTACGTCCTGTTTCTGGAAGGAATTTTTGAAGTTGATAGGCTCCGCCCAGGGGCTGAGTTCAAGTCACCACCCTCAGACAAATGGGGCTTGTGAACGAACCAATGGGGTTCTAGAACAATACCTGAGGTGTTACGTAAATTACCAACAAGACAATTGGGTAGACTTGTTGCCATTTGCAGAAGTGGCATATAATAATTCCGTACACAGTAGCACTGGATTCACTCCTTTTAAGGTCGCATCGGGCCAGGATTTCGTACCCATTCCCGAGCTACCACAAGATGATCCCCAGAATCCCTCTTTGATGGATTGGATTGAACAGTTAAAAAGCACATGAGCAGTAACTCGGAAGGCATTAGATGAGGCACATCGGGCCCATAAGGCGCAAGCAGATAAGAAAAGGTCCCCAGCTCACATTTATAAAGTGGGTGATAAAGTCCATTTATCTACTAAATACTTATAGACTACCCAGAAGTCTAAAAAGCTGGGCCCTAAGTATGTGGGACCATTTCCTGTGATTAGACTGATTAATCCAGTAACAGTTGAATTGGAATTGCCAAAAACGTTGAGGCATATACATCCTGTATTTCATGTTAGTTTATTAAAACCTGAACACTTGTCTCCCCTAAGGGCTGACCAAGGCACCCCTCCAATTCCCATTCTCATAGAGGGGGAGCAACATTTTGAAGTTAAGGAAATCTTGGACTCTAGAAAATACCATGGTAAAGTCCAATATCTGATTGCCTGGAAACATTTCCCTTTGTCTCAGGCTGAATGGGTGAATAAACGGGATGTCTGAGCTCCCAAGAAAATACAGCAATTCTATACCAAATACCCAGATAAACCATAATCATTGTATATATTCTGTTTCTTTCTCCTTTCTTTCCTCTTATTTAGGAATAACGTCTCTTCTGCAAGAGGGGCCGAATGTCAGCCTCAGCTTTGCCTGCTTCAGCTGCCATAAGAAACGGGGGAGGGATTAGTTAAGGGGGGGGAAGATGCAGGAGGTGTTTTGTTTTCCATTGTAGGACGTGTCTTCCCAAGAAACGAAAGTGATTCTTCAAAGGGGACGGCTGACCAACTGCCCTACATTCCTGATGAATGATGCTGCCAGACGTGATGCCACCTGACCTTTGGGAGACCTTTGGATTGGCTGATGATCAATGGACATGGGGGGGGGAAGCTTAGTAGATGCTATTTCGCGCGTTTTGCTCACTTCCAGCTTTACCTGGGTTGCGATCTTTTTATATTCAGTAAAAGTACTAATCTCTTCAAAATGGTTGTGTTTGGGTTTTCCTTTTCTGGATATTGAAGGAAGCATACCTGACACAAACCCTCTGTGTGTCCCGTTTTTGTGAAAAATGGGCCCGTTTTCGCAAAAAGTGAGCCTGTTTTTGGCCTCCCAAACCTCCCACGCATCGCATTTTTGCCCTCCCCAGCCCCCAGGAGCACTCTGCAGGCCTCCCAAACTCTTTGTGCGTCCCGTTTTTGCGAAAAATGAGCCCATTTTTGGGAAACCTGGACGTGCAGGGTGACGCACTGACATTTTCACCATCTTTTTTGGGGGGGTGGGAGTATGTCTTCTACTCTGAAACGTACAGTAGTTGTAGTTCAGGAATGAACTGTACGATGGTCCTTGGTGCTCTCTGAGCTTGGTTGTTTTCTTGTTTCATTACCAAACTAGGTAACATAATGCTAGTAGGCAGTGGGGCTTGTTCTCATTTTATATACTAGTCAGTGTTGGTGGGAGTGGTGTTGGTAGTTCCTTCATTAGGCTGTTTACTGATTGGGGTATTGTTTGCTTCTTGATTGTTGATCTAATGTTGAACTTAGTATTAATCTTTGCTCATGTTGATAGCTGGTGAGGAGGTATTGTGGTATTTTTGTTTCCTTTTTGGCTGTTTGAATGTCTCTTTTGAATGGTGTGTAGGTGTTGTTTATCTCTAGGTGCCTGTTGATGGCCAATATGTCTGAATGCCAGGCTTCCAGGAATTCTCTAATGTTTTTGAACTTGGCTTGGTCTAGGATGCTCACAATTTTCCTGTTGTTAAACATTAGGTATGACACCAGAGCAGCTTCAATTTAATGAGTTTTTCCCCACTGCCAACATTTATGAACTACTAAAATATCTATGTTTGGTAATAGCCAGAATAAATAAATGTGGAAGATCTTCTATGTATGTGTGTTAAATATACCCATACTGTTTAATTATTCCCCTCACCAGAGCTTCATATGCTACTGAAGCCATTCCTCAACACAACAAATCCAAGTAGCTTTTACAACATAGGATTTTATATGTGGCACTAACCATAAAGCTCTATAAAGCCATGCCTACATATCTGTTGATTTGCCAAGACCAGAGATGAAAGCACTCATAATCATTGGTCAGTATTACAGATCGCTTGTTACTTGTTGGTTTGTTTATTTATGCTGTTCATTTCTGAAGGCTTTCAGTAGCTAACAATTACAAATATAATATAAAATTACCCCCTAGAAATAAACCCACCAAAATGAAATTAAAAAATGATAATCTCAACACCATAATAAGGGATATGAAAAAGCTACAAAGTATACTGCCAAATCAACTGTAGTTCAACCAAGCAGATCTTTTGAAACTTTTTTTCCCATTTGTCCTGTTTCCAAATTCTGCAGTTAAGTCACCAAGGAACAAACTGAATATAAGAGGTTTTCTATCTAATGTTTAATTATTCAAATCTAGCACGATAAGCTCACAGCAAAAAAATAATGTATATTTTCATAATATGTTATCGTCTAAACACAGCAGAATCAGCAAAATAACATTTTTAACGTAAAATCATGATGTTCATTTCTTAAGATAGGGCTCAGTCATAATTAAATTTTCTGGCCAAATATGAACTATTGATAATCTATATATATAAAAAAGCAAAATACCACTCACATGTCATCACAAAATCTCCAGAACCGTTAGGCCTACAAACTTGAAATTTGCCTCGTACAGTATGTTCCTCTTGGCTTCTAGGTGCTCACTAAGAAAGGATTTTTCGAAATGACCATCAGAGCATTAGTATTTCCTATATTATTATTAACATGCTCTGATGCTAAGTAGTTCTACTTCCCCTTCCCACTGAAAAGAAATCTGTTCCAAATGCAAAACACAAGCAGAGGAGAGGACTTTCAGTTTCAGTTTTACTTTCACAGCAGCAAGCAGGGGATAGGATAGAGGAGGCTTCTGTGGGGCAAGCCTGAGGGAGAGAAGGTGATAGGATAGGAAACGTTTCTGTAGGGCAAGGCTGAGAGAGAGAAGGGGAGAGGAGAGGCTGATCATAACTACTCATTAATTTTCAAGCTGTAAGTGTTGATTTATCAAGCCCAGTCACATAGTTTCGTAGCGGACCACAGGTATTCAGCTAGTGATAAATATACAGAACCTGAATTTATATTTCCCTGCAATCCTTTATCCTGAAATATGTATAATACTTTGCACTTTCAACTTTCAGAAAGTGTATCTACTAAAAGAAAGGTAATGGACAACTGTCCAAAGCTTTTTCCTATTAAACACATTTTTTAACCTTATATGAAATGCACTGGTTTCTGAATAATGCAATTCTTCTGATCTTTCACAATAAAGATATGTGCAGGCATTGATTTCACTATTAACAAAGTATAAGTATTAAGCTAACAATCCTAAGAAGGATCCAAATCTCTCCAAATGTACTTAAGAGCACAGCATACATCACTTTTCACTTTTTGGATTTAAAAAACATAATACAACGAAGTTAACAAGGAAGTATTGTAATTTTCAGAGGTTTGAAACTAAAATTTGATTCAACTGGCCCCTTTCTTTTGGTGAAGAACAATTAATTCACAATCAAGGCAGGATATATATTTTTTCTTCTGAGCAACATAACCCTGACTCAAACAGTTTTTCCTACACAGAAAAAATAAAATCCACTACTTACTAATCTGAGCAAATCTCTCTAGATTCCAAATTGTGGAATATATTATCACCAAAGGAACACTTGGCTCCTATCCTCCTCATGTTGAGGTTGGCCTAACATAACTCCCATTTCAGCTGAATCTTCAAATTGTAGGATAGCTGCAGGACATCCATATTCTATTTACAATGTGCATTTTTTTCCGTACTGTTTTATTTTTTCAAATATATTTTAGTTTTATTTGCTCATGTATGTTATCTGCAGTCAATCAGATGGAATGCTATATAAATGATATAAATTTTAAAAATATAACAAAAAACAACTGAAATAACTGAAATAAACATAATACTATAGATGTTTGGTGTTTCTAATTATATTTTAATTACAAAAGTGAGATCATGGTTAACAACAGTAATCTTATTTCATAAAGTATATTTACATAGTATTTGTATCAGTCACTAAGTTCTTCCTCATCACTAAAATATGCACTTTTTTTTGATGCGTGGTCGTCTTGAATCAGATGTGGAGGGCTCACCAGCATTTTGAGTTGAACTTTGCTGTTCTTCTTCAATTTTGGCTTGCTGCAAGGTAATTGCATAAAACACAAAAATGGGAAACAAAATTATATTAATTTCTGTAACACACATTCTCCAAAATAGATAGGCCCAGTTGTTTGCTTCACCCCTGTAATTTCTATTATTTTGAACTATAGGTTAAATTACAAATTAATTATTAAAGGAAAGACAAAACGGTGCCTTCTTTCCTCAAGTCATCATGCAATTTTCCATAATAGAATATTATGTTTTAACTGATTTATTATAGTGTTTGTGGCGATGTTCACAGATAACATGAACCAAACCACAATGGCTGCACATAAACCACACCACGATAAAATGGGATGGGATGGGATTTTTATTTTTTTCTGGGAGCACACTGGCACACATTAAAAAATGAAATTCTGATGCTCACTCTCAAAAGAAAATAAATATATACCCATACATATACATGCACAAACATATGCAATATATACATACATATACATATGAATGCATACACACAGACACACACACACACACACACATGCACCACACAATATTATTATAGAATCCAGTTGCTCTGCTTTAGATACCATGAAGCCTCTTCCCAGAAGGCAACAAAGAAAACTGGTCATGGAATTGGCCAAGCAGCACTTATATGCCATGTCCTAAATAGAAGTAAGTAAGCATCCAATAATCTTTTCTGCCATCCTCACCACTCTCTACACAACCTTCCTGTCTGTGACAGTAATACATCCAAACCACACAGTAATATATAATAAGACAAGATGCTTTCAACCATCCCTCTATAGAAAGTGGCAAGGATAGGGGAAGGAAGATGTGTTCTTCATATCTCGTGTGATATATGATATCAATAGAAGAGAATATAGGAAGCTCAGGTTTGAACTGTGGAATCCTAAGTGGTCTCTTGGCTGTTTGCTTGCAGACATTTCCTTACCACGTTAGATAATACCATGAGTGCTGTTTGAGTGATCAATGGGATTTGCTTGCCCTGCTATTGATGGTAGGGATATAGTTTTTTCTTTTTGATAGTTCCTTAATTAGGGTATTGTTTCCTACTTGACTGTTTGCTTGTTTATTTCAGTATTTCCTTGATACGGTATTATTTTCTGCTTCATTGCCTCTCATGTTAATCCTTAATCTCTTTACTAATTACACATACACAAAAATAGACTGTGTGTGTGATTGTGTGTACATCTACCTATACTATGAATATATATACAACACAATACTCCTTAATCTCACAACACATGAACAGATTCAACCATAGTTTCAACCGGAAAACTGCATCCTAGACCAAGCAAAATCCAAAAACCACAAGGGAATTCCTGGAACCTTGACACTCAAGACAAATATGCCATCAATGCATACATAAGAATAAACCACATTTACATACCATTCAAAATAAACAATAAAAAAGCTAAGAAGGAAACAGAAAGGCCAGCACACATTCACTCTAGTACAGATAGTCCTCGACTTACAACAGTTCATTTATTTATCATTAGAAGTTACGACGACACTGAAAAAGTGACTTATGACCATTTTTCACAGGTATGACCATTGCAACATCCCCTGGTCATGTGATTTATATTTGGATACTTAACAACTGACTCACATTTATGATGGTTGCAGTGTCCTGGGTCATGTGATCACCTTTTGCAACCTTCTGACAAACAAAGTCAATGGGGAAATCAGATTCACTTAACAATCGTTACTACGATGTTTCCTGAAAATAAGACCCACTCCCAAAATAAGCCTTAGCCTGATATTTTGGGATGGAACTAATATAAGCCCTGCCCCAAAAATAAGCCTGGGGGATGGGTATGGCCAGCACAAGAGGCGGTAAGTGCCGATGGTGTCCGGCAGTAGCTGTAGACCACCAGCCCCATGGTGCAGTGCAGTTACGTCTGAGCACAGAGGCGGGGGTGGGTGGGGGGGAGAGAGCAGATCCAGACATGCTGTGCGGCTGGCTCATGGGAGGCTTGTGCGGCAGCAGAGGCATAGGGGTGAGGCAGGCAATTTTGATGCCCTTTATGGGCACCTGCCCCAATGCGGCCAAGCCGAGAGACAGTGAGACAGAGTGGGAGGTGCGTTGGGAATTGCCTGCCTCCCCCCCCATGCCTCTGGCTCCACCACACACTTTGGTCAGAGGGAGACTGGAAGCTTTGTTTGCAAACGGGGCGCTTTGAAACGGAGCAATTAGCTAATCACTCTATTCCAAAGCACCCCATTTTTTTAAAAAAAAATTGATTTATATGCCGCCCTTCTCCGGAGACTCAGGGCGGCTTACAATGTGCTCAGCAATAGCCTTCATCCTTTTGTATATTCATACAAAGTCAGTTTATTGCCCCCACAACTGGGTCCTCAATTTACCTACCTTAGAAAGGATGGAAGGCTGAGTCAACCTTGAGCCTTGGCGAGATTCGAACCTGCAGTAATTGCAGGCAGCTGGTCTTAATAACCAGATTAATAACAGGGTGCCTTAGACCACTGTACTACCAAGGCTCTTTTAGAGAGACTTAGTAGTACATTTGCAAATGTACTACCAAGTAGTCATTTGCAAAGACAAGGCTTCCAGTCGCCATCATTTCTCTGTCTGGGCTAAAAGTGTGTGTGCCCTGGGAAGCTGTTGCGGCCATGGACAAGTAGGAGGGAGCAAGCAAGTAGGAGGGAACCAAACCTCACAACAGGAACTGTGTAAAAACATTATTCAAATGAGGAACAACCAACAGATTATTATAAACACTAGCTGAATACCTGTGCTCCGCTACGAAATTATGTGATCGGGCTTGATAAATCGACACAGCTTGAAAATTAATGAGTAGTTATGATTGGCCTCCCCTCTCCCCTTCTCTCCCTCAGGCTTGCCCCACAGAAGCCTCCCCTATCCTATCCTCTTTTCTCGCTCGGCCTTGCCCCACAGAAATCTCCCCTATCCTATCCCCTTCTCTCCCTCAGCCTTGCCCCACAGAAGCTTCCCCTATCCTATCCTCTTTTCTCGCTCGGCCTTTTCCCACAGAAACCTCTCCTATCCTATCCAGTGGTGGGATTCTACCGGTTCGCACTGGTTCAGTAGAACTGGTTGTTAAGTAGTTAAGCAGTTCGGAGAACCGGTTGTTAAAAGAAATCTTTTTGGTTTTTTTCCACTTTACAGGGTTAATCCTGTAAGGAATTACAACGTTCGGTGTTGTTTCCTAACCTAATCTTTATTGCCCAGTTTACAGAAACTGCCTCTCCGGCAGTATGCCTAGACTTCCATTTCTGGAGGTACTCGGAGATTTTTTTTTTGCTTGACTTTCTTAAAGGGGAAGGGTTGTTTTAAGCCTTTTACACCGCTGTTGGGAGGAAATACTCCCCTGCTGGAGTTCTTCCAGCCAGGGTGCAATGATCAGCACTTTGAAGAAATAATTGAATAACGAAGCAGAAACTTTTAATGACAAGGAACCAAGATGAGTGACATTCAGCAAGGCTTATTGGCTAGCTAGAAAGATTGACATTCAAATGTGAGCTTACATACCCTTTCTGACTTTTGGTCTAAAACTGGTTTTTGGTGAAGTTTAATTCTGTGCTTGGTGATGTTTAATCCTGTGTTTAGTGATGGGGTAATTTTACCTATTCAGCTTTGTTTGGAAGGAAAAATGTTAATCTCTGTTCCTGAAAAGAACCAGCTTTGGAAATCTGACTAGTTCTGTGTCTATCTGTTCTGGTAATTGGTTTAATAAGCAACAGATACTCTGTTTTCTCCTTTGCTTCATTCTGGAGAGCTTAAATGACTTCTCTGCTAAAGGGTTTCACTTGGCTGCTGATAGTTATCATTGCATTTTAACTATTTTAATTCCTCAAGGTACTTTGGCACCTTCCCTGATTTGTAACTCCAGTTTGCAGGTATTTCTAATCTAATAATTGGTATTTAGGGCAGCTTTTTGCAAGCAAAGAAGCTTTTTGTATTTTTGTACAGGTAATCCTTGACTTACAACAGTTACAATGGCACTGGAAAAAGTGACTTATGAACGTTTTTCACATTTATGACCATTGCAGCAAACTGTCATTAGGGCAAAGAAGTGATACCACATGACCACCTGGCCACACCCACCCAGTCACATGAAGCATCACAGTTGTGAAATGAGTGACACGGTTGTTAAGAATGCTGCAACGGGCATAAATGATGACCAGTCGTAAGTGTGAGGACCAGTCAAAAGTGTGAGGACCTGTCAGAAATCACTTTTTTCAGCCCTCTGGGTAGTCCTTTTGTGCATATGGACTACTCAGAGGGCTGAAAAAGTTATTTTTGACTGGTCCTCGCACTTTTGACCAGTCCTCGCACTTACGATTGTCCTCACATTTTACGTTATTTGTCCTATCTTGTCACCATGGTGAAGAGAAGCAGTTGTGAAATGAGTGACATGGTTTTTAAGAATGCTGCAATGGGCATAAATGATGACCAGTATTTATTTATTCTTTCTTTCTTTCTTTCTTTCTTTCTTTCTTTCTTTCTTTCTTTCTTTCTTTCTTTCTTTCTTTCTTTCTTTCTTTCTTTCTTTCTTCCTTCCTTCCTTCCTTCCTTCCTTCCTTCCTTCCTTCCTTCCTTCCTTCTTTCTTTCTTTCTTTCTTTCTTTCCTGCCTTTCTCCCGTAGGACTCAAGGCGGTGTACAGTCAAGAAAAATATAGACACACAAACATCATAAAATTGCTAATTAAAATTATTACTTAGTTTGGTCAATTAAATAAAACCCAGAATTAGATAACATTTAAAAAATCATTCACATGTTCGTATGTTTAGCCCCGCCTGTTGGAACATCAGGGTCTTGAGGGCACGGCGGAAAGCATGGAGATCAGGGATATTCCGTATCTCCGGGGGCAGTTCATTCCAAAGGGTTGGAGCCCCCACAGAGAAGGCCCTCCCCCTGGGAGTCGCCAGTCGACATAATTTGACTGACGGTACCCTGAGTAGTCCCTCCCTGTGAGAACGAACTGGTCGGTGGGAGGCTATTGGTGGCAAAAGACGGTCTCGTAGGTATCCAGGT